AATTTGAAATCAAATGGGAAGGACCCATGAAACTCTACTGTGATAATAAATCAGCTACCAATATAGCACACAATCCAGTTCAACATTATCGAACTAAGCATATTGAGGTTGATAGACACTTTATCAAGGAAAAGCTTGATAGTGGGTTGATTTGCACCCCATTTGTGTCCTCAAAAGGACTTGCGGATATTCTCACTAAATGATTGAGTAGCTCAAAATTTTGAACGAATTGTATCCAAGTTGAGAATGGAAAATAATTATTCACCAGCTTGAGGGGAGGTGTTAGTGTAGAAATATGGAAATATTTTATATATCTTGTAAAGAATACATAAGAGGTATTTATAGACTATACATCTATCTAAATAAGGGTGTAATTATTCTCCTATAAATGCTAATTATTCATAATAAGTTGTATAGGATAGCAGCTCATAATGAGCTGTATGATATTCAACATATTCTAATAATAATAATACTAATATTACAACACTCCCCCTCAAGCTGAGGAATGGATATCTATCATCCCCAGCTTGCAAGTAAGATCTCGAAACCGCTCTAAGGGGAGTCCTTTGGTGAGCACATCAGCTAACTGGAGTCCTGATGGGACGTACTGTGTAGAAATAAGACCACTGTCCAATTTCTCTTTGATGAAGTGTCGGTCTATCTCTATATGCTTTGTTCTGTCGTGTTGGACCGGATTGTGAGCAATACTAATAGCAGACTTATTATCACAGAAAAGTCTCATAGGAGCTTCATATTTTATTTTCAAGTCATCTAGAATAATCTTCATCCACAACAATTCACAAACTCCTTGAGCCATGGCTCTAAACTCTGCCTCTGCACTTGATCTGGCAACTACATTTTGTTTCTTGCTCCTCCATGTCACTAAGTTTCCACCTAAGAACATACAATATCCAGTGGTGGATCTCCTGTCAACAATCGACCCTGCATAATCTGCATCAGTATAGACCTCCATAGACAACTGCTCACTTTTCTTGAACAATAGACCTCTTCCTGAGCTCATCTTTAAATACTGCAGGATTCTATCCACAGCCTGTAAGTGCCTCTCCTCTGGATCATGCATGAATTGACTGACAACACTAACCGGATAAGCTATGTCAGGCCTGGTGTGAGATAGATAAATGAGCTTTCCCACAAGTCTCTGGTATTGAGCTTTATCAACCCTTGGACTTTCCTCATCACTCCCAATCCTGTGGTTTTGCTCTATAGGCACTCTGCTGGGTTTACAACCCAACTTGCCAGTCTCTTTGAGAAGGTCAAGGACATATTTTCTCTGAGAAATGAAAATGCCTTGTTTTGAGTATGCTACTTCCATACCTAGGAAATATTTCAACTTTCCAAGGTCCTTCATTTCAAACTGAGCTGCCAACTTCTTCCTCAAGTTCATCTTCTCAAATTCATCATTACCTGCTATGATCATATCATCTACGTAGACTAACAAAAGAGTGAGTTTACCATTTTGAGAATGCTTTATAAAGAGAGTATGATCACCTTGGCTTTGTTTATAACCCAAGGACACCATAACATGAGTGAGCCTTCCAAACCAAGCTCGAGGTGATTGCTTGAGCCCATATATGGCCTTCTTTAATCTGCAAATCTTATTACTTCCTAAAGTAGGGTCATATCCAGGTGGGATCTCCATATACACCTCTTCCTTCAAATCTCCATGCAAGAAAGCATTTTTCACATCAAACTGTTGCAACTCCCAATCAAAGTGAGCTGCCAAGGAAAGAATGATTCTTACAGTGTTCATTTTTGCTACTGGAGCAAATGTCTCTTCATAATCAATTCCATAGGTCTGGGTGTATCCCTTTGCTACTAGCCTCGCCTTATATCTGTCCAGTGTGCCGTCGGATCGGTATTTTACCGTATATATCCATCTGCAACCTACTGGCCTCTTGTCATTTGTCTTCTCAATAATCTCCCAAGTCCCATTTTTCTCTAGTGCTTGCATCTCTTCATTCATGGCTTGAATCCAGTTCTTATCCTTTAATGCTTCTTGTACTGATGTAGGGACTCTAATAGAGTCAATAGCTGAAATAAAACTCTGATGCTGCACAGAAAGTTTTTCAGTAGACACAAACTGGGATATAGGGTATTTAGTACAAGACCTTTTTTCTTTTCTCAAAGCAATAGGTAGGTCATCAAGGTTCAGCTCACAAGAATTACTAGGCTCAGGGTTAGGAACACTTACCTCAGGTTCAGACGATTGGACTTGTTGGGGCAGAACGGGTTTACCTTTCCACCTTTTTCGCTGGAACTGTAACTTGTATCTGTCAACGTTATTATGCACCGGTATTGGTACATCACCACCATCCTCATCATTATTATGCACCGGTATTGATACATCACCACCATCCTCATTAGGCATCAAAGGCTCTTGTATTACAGGAATAACAGGAAGAACAGACAATTCAGGAGACGACTCTGGGTCCTGTATTAGAGGAATAACAGGAAGAATAGACAACTCTGAAGACTCAGCTTCTTGATTATTCTCCCCCTGAAGCTGAGGATTGGGATAAAAAGACTCTGATTCCTGAAAAGTAACATCCATGGATATATAGACACGACGACTAGGAGGATGATAACACTTGTACCCCTTCTTATCTGAAGCATATCCTATGAAAATACATTTAATAGCTCGAGGATCTAACTTACCTCGATGAGGGCCATGAACATGGACAAAGGCAGAACAACCAAAGACACGATTCTGAAGACTTGACAAGATGGGCACAGACGGAAAGAATTGAGTCAGGACCTGCACGGGACTAACACCAGATAACACCCTAGAAGGTAACCTATTGATTAAATAAGCAGAGGTCAAGACAGCTTCCCCCCAATAAAATTTAGGAACATTCATTTGAAAGCGTAATGCTCGGGTGATTTCAAGAAGATGACGATTTTTTCTTTCAGCAACCCCATTTTGTTGTGGAGTGTTAACACAAGTCAACTCATGAACAACACCATTAGTTTTGAGAAAATTGTAAAAATTTTGGTTTACATACTCCTTACCATTGTCTGACCGTAACCGTTTAATAGGTTTTCCAAACTGTGTTTTGACCATTTGAAAAAAGTTAACAAACAATTGACACACTTCAGACTTATCTTTCATAAGAAAAACCCATGTAACCCGAGTACAATCATCAATAAAGGTAACATACCATTTTGCCCCAGAAATATTGGAAATGGATGAAGGCCCCCATACATCAGAATGAACAAGATCAAAGGGTTCGACACTCTTAGTATTACTAGGGGAATAGGTTGCTCGATGAGATTTGGCAAACTGACACACATCACAATGAAAGGAATCAACAGACACTTTGGTAAATAAGTGAGGGAATAGAGACCTGAGCATCTGGAAAGGAGGATGTCCAAGACGCCTGTGTTGGAGCCATATTTGAGTATTTGCCCATGACTCTGAACCAGCCTGATGACACTTACTTTCCTTATGAGGCAGACAATATAACCCGTTCTGTTCCTCAGCAATTCCAATCGTCTTACCTGTGGCAAGATCCTGAAAAACACAATGAGAATGAAAAAAGGTTACTACACAGTTCAAGTCTTTAGTGAGTTTATGGATGGACAAAAGATTGTTAGAAAGCTTAGGGACATGAAGCACATCATTTAGATGGAGAGATGGGCTTAGGTGGATGTTACCAGATCCGACAATCGGGGTTTGAGACCCATTTGCAACGGTAATATGGTTTTTATTAGGTAAAGGTGAATAAGAAGAGAGATATGACATATATGGAGTCATGTGATCAGTTGCACCAGAGTCAATAATCCAGATATCTTTAGAACAAGAGGCATTAAAAGCTAAGGAGCTAGAATTCTTACCCATCATGGTCAGAGAACTAGTGTTAGAGAACTTACTCAAGGAGTCCATAGAGAGAAACAAACCGTCTCGAACCAGGAGAGGATCGAGATCTACTGTTAGGAGAGGATCGAAGGGCTGCCAATTAGAAACACCAACAACGATGACAACCGAACAATCAAGGGCTGCAAACAGCAAGTAAATAGAGGTACGGCAATGAAGGCTGTCCTAAAAAAAAGATGAAGGTGAAAACGTCCGGATCTGCAACGGCGGTTGAGCGGTGCACGATGGCTGCAAAGTCACCGAGATCACTAGGGTTCCAAGAGAAAGGGAACCTTGAAAAAAAAAAAGACCGTAATAAGAACGGCTAGTGTTTTGAGCGCGGAAGCAGAGCCCCTAGAATCGGGAGCTCTGATACCATGTAGAAATATGGAAATATTTTATATATCTTGTAAAGAATACATAAGAGGTATTTATAGACTATACATCTATCTAAATAAGGGTGTAATTATTCTCCTATAAATGCTAATTATTCATAATAAGTTGTATAGGATAGCAGCTCATAATGAGCTGTATGATATTCAACATATTCTAATAATAATAATACTAATATTACAACAGTTAGAAATAGAAAAAATACATTGTATGTTTTCCACTAAAATGAGCATTTAAGTCTTAGATTCATGTATATTTAGATTCATGCATTTAAGAAGTTGGACTATTATTTATTTCTCCTTGTAAACATAATATGTAATTAATTATATAGTGTGTATAAATATCATAGTTGCTGAGTGTTTTATTCACTCAAGCACATTTAAAAAACTTCTTATTTCTATTCTTCACAGCATGACAATGATTGGCGCAAAACCAGGTAAATTAACATTTTCGGAGACAAAATGACATTTGGTTACAAAATAGAAGATTGTTATCTTTGTTGCCTAAAAATAAATAAAATTTAGAAAATACAATTTATCTTCATTAATAGATCTCATTCTAAGCTCGCACATGTTAAATATATGCTATATATGCTTCATAAATCATGACACAACACAGACATCAATGACTTCAAAAAAAAAGATAATCGTCAGTTTAAGTAGTTAAACATTTTCTAATGACCCAAGAAAAGTATGATGAAGAAAATAGATGACAGGGTCTAAGAAGTGATAACCTCATTATATCATAAATTGCAAGTGCTTCAGTCTCATAACCCAACTTCTTATCTCCCTGAAAGAAAGAAATAATATCCTGTTAAACAAATGGATCTTTTCATGGAAACTTGAGCTTGAGCACCATTGTTTTAGACTTTTAGTATCTGATAAGAATTATTTGTGGATATTTCTGCTTGGCAAAAAAGCTGGAGAAATAATTCACATGTTGGAAGCCAAAAATGAATGCGCTATAGCCCAAATATGTAGATTAATGTAGCCAACACTCCTGGCAGGATAAGTCTTAATTGTTGCTGCCGTCGTTGTTGAATATGATATTTTTCTGAAATTAGGCGGCCCTCTACTCGAAAATAACTTCTACATTTTGATACAAAAATAAATGTCGTAGGTTGTATTGATTTGGTTAATTTCAGGTCGCTATGCTATTTAAATTAACAAATAAATTATCTATAATAATATACATGCCTTAGGTAAAGGTTAGGTATCACTGTGTCTCCAAGATAAAAACCTTGTAACTTAAAAATTGGCTAGTAGATAGCAAAATAAGCTTTAAGAAAAGCTTTGGCCTAGTTTTTTTAGTAAATAAATTTGGCCTTGTCTAGTAAATAAGCCTGATCCATTTCCATCCCTACCTGGTACTATAATTTACCTTGGTTGTCCCAGTGGAGTTTATGTACATATAAATGGGTTGTTTTTCATCCTCAGATTGAAGGTGCAAAAATTCAGCAACCATCAACTCTGTGACAGCTGGAACAAGAGACATGCCCAAGTAAACAATTCGATTTTTGAACAAGTAAGAAGCCAAGTCTGGTGGAGGTTGCTCCCGTGCATGCCCTCTTGTGAAAGGAATAACCTATCCAATGAGAAGAAAAATTGAACGTCAAACCTGCATAAATAATATAAGTAGCATATATTGTAGCTTGGTGTGCCATAAATTTTTGTACATATATGTTATATAGTTTATTTGCATAGAGTACAGATTGTGCAAGAGCAGCATTAACGGTTGAACTTAAGGGTTTTAATTTTTAAACAAAAAGTGGAGAAAAAAATAAGAACTTGAATATTTATTGATAAAATAACTTGATAGAAGCTTAACCATTAAGCACAAATAATAACTCAAGACTTAACCACTTAACATAATAAAACAAGCTTATCTACCACGTAAATCAGAAGCTACCAAAGCATAACCATTGAGAGAAGATAAAATATGTGTCTCACTTGAGAGAAAACAAAAATATCAAAGCTTAATCACCTGCTAAGGAGGAAGCTACAACTAAGCCAAGTAAGACCGAACAAAGGGTAGTAGTCAAGAAACACTCAATGACTCAATCAGCAGTAAAGAAACCTTCATAAGTGGGACCCTGAGGGCTGAGTCGGAAGGTGTCTCAGACAAGGTTTAACAAAGACGGTTACAAATCACAATAGAAAGGAGGAAACCATTTTGAATACAATTGTCAATACATTCCGAAATTTATAGGAACTCCACAGCGAAGTAGCAACAGAACATGTCAGGTACGATTGAATCAAGCTCTAGATATCATGTTGAAGTTATGGGCTTTAGCTAAAAAGATGAGAGATAACAAGACCATGAATATCATTGATAACAAATAACTCGATAGTAGCTTGACCATTAGGTAGAACTCATAACTCAAGGCTAAACTACTTATCATAAGCAAATATAAGTTTAACCACTGCATAAGGTAGAAGCTACCAACCATCAAGGCAGAAGATAAAAGATGAGTCTTAACCGCTCAAAACTGAAGCAAAAATATCAAAGATTAACCACCTAATAAAGGCAGACGCTAACACCAAGTCAAATGAGGCTAACCAGCACATAGTCGTGAAACACTCAAGCAGCGGCAAAGAAACCTTCAAAAGTGGGCTCATAACCCACAGGTTCTAGAATCAAAATAGACTCTAGATATCATAAGTAATGGAGTGTTTGTTTGAATGAGATAGTGCATAACAATTACTATATACATCTTCTATATATTACACCATATTTACCAGCACACATCAGTCTATCTTTCAATATAAGAAGCTCCCCGTACCCAAAAACTAAAAACATCTCGTTTGAAGTATAAAGATAAATGGACAAAGGTCTTCGCATGCTATCTAGGAAATTGAATGTATGATGTAATCAAAGACAACCCAATATGGGGAGGACAGAAGTAAAGGGTATCCACTTTCCATTTCTGCTAAACCTCTCAAGCAAACAAAAATCTGCGTGCTCTCCAGACTTGAGGTGTCCCACATGACCAAGACTCACATAGGGGAGAGGTCATATATATCAAATTTACGATAAATTCTGAGAAGAGAAGTATTCAAATCTTCATTTTTTCCATTTTATCAATTGATGATAGGTTATTTTCAGTTAATAGTAAGAAGAAGCAACCCGGATTCAAAATTCCTTACTTTGTAAGGTATCCTCTGAGGAATTCTGCATTTGATATACATTTACAATCCCAGTGGAAAACTCTTGTAAAACGAAACTTCTTCGTTATACATTAGCCATGACGAATTTCACAACACAAGTAACTCAACCTTTTCTCGTCTCCAAAATGAAAATCATAAACCCTTAAAATAAAACCCTCTACTAATGCTTAAATTTCTCCAAAATGAAAAGTATACTCAAAATTATTACACGCACGTGGTAAATTGTAACTTCAATTGCATATCCAATTCCAATTTTACATTAGAAATATGAATGAGAAGATAAGTTGAGAAATGTTAAGAAAAAATTAGTACCATAGTAATGACGCATCTTTTAGCGCCAGAACTTCGAAATGAAGCCGGATTAATGCAAGGAAGTCGAAGCTTGTGGCCGGAGAAGTGGCTAGAGGAACTGCTGATTGCGGTTGAAGGAGCGACGAAATCGGTGGAGATAGAGTTCCTTAAAGAGGATTTGATGGCTTTGATAGGACTTACGGTTCTTGATGAAGACGGAAACAAAAGCATGGGCTTGTTGACTGCGAAGGTAAAAGCTGCGTTGGCGGTTGCAACCTCCATGGTTCGGTTCTACACTTCACGGTGATGTTCGGAATTCAGATAGTGAAAATACGAGCGTCGAGGAAGATTGCCACAAATTTTGATTACGTACGTTTTCTTTTGTTTTTTGTTAGGCCTCTCGATTGGGGCCATCGGCCCAATGGAATAACTCTTGCACCCTGAATTGCTACCAGACCCTAGTTAAAAACTTAAAATCTTGCACCCTGAATTGCTAGCAGACCCTAGATAAAAACTTAAAATACTTTTAGATTTCGGATATGCATCTTCGAACGTATTTAAAAGTACAAATCACATTATTTTTTTACAATACCCCAAACAAAAATCTGTTTGATTTCGAAGATGTATCTCTAGAATGTACTAAAACACATATTCGAAAACACAAATTCACATTGATGCATATTGAAGTAAAAATTAAAATTGATAACTTGAAAGATAAAACATTATATAAATAATCAAACATTATAGAGATGAAACATACCAACGTCGAGGTGGACGATTCATCATCCTAATAATATCTTTGACAAATTTCACTATTTTCGAATCCAACTCGATTGGAAATTTATTTTCATAAGGAAAAAATGTATTCCACATAACCCTTACATATGCAGTAATATTGAGTTTGAAGTTGTTTAACTTAATGTTCCCTTCATTGTCAGATGTTGGTGAGCAGTACTCGAGCTTCACAATTTTTTTGTTTGTTGTCGTATAGTGGGAGTTTTTCAAGTATGAATTTTAAATCATCAAGAGGCATATACTCAACAAACTTGAATGCAAGCAATGGCTCCACCGCTTTAAAGTAGACATATTTGGTATTCCAAATGATGTTCATTCAGATGTAATATAATGGTGTATAAAGAGTATGAAAAGGGAGTTCATATTTATACAAGCTCTAAGCCAATATGAATCTCATAGTTTCTATCATGTATTATGGAATGTTCCTGATGCATCACTGGAACCATCCTGATTGTATTTTTTAAAAAAATTTGGGTGCGTTCGGAGATGCATCTCCGAAAACACCCAACACGGAGTAATGAGAAGCATAACTTGTTTTGGACAGAAAAAGATTGATTTTTTTGGGAAACTAAAACATGTTCAAATTTCTTTGAAAATGTATATATTTTACGTCATCAATATATTACATACGAACACTAAAATAAACCGAAACAAATTTCTTTGGGATGTACCGCATTTGATTTTTGTTTATTTGAGTCTCTCACAATCTCGCTCAATATGGTGAACTCTTGCATCCTTTCTAGAAAATGATTCGGCCATTTCTCCGCTTTTATGGACGAATGAGTTGCCCACTCTGGTGATGTCAGTGGTATAAGGCATCTCGGTTTCAAATAAACTTGAACAAAGTGTCGTGAGTTTGAAAGCCACCTGATACATATAATACAATCATTTGGATTTAAAGGTGGGGCAATGTGCATTGAAAGAAATATTTCTGAGAAACTGTATCTCGTAAGATCAATACACACTATTTCATACTCATTAGCTATAAGATGGCCAATTTCAGGAAAGCACGTCTATTTATTCTTCGATGTCGGTCCACTAATGCAAGGAACAAGATATTCATAAATTGCATCAAAATTTTGTTTTGAACCGTATAGCCCTGTGTATGTTTCTTTATGTCCCTTAAACTCCAGGTGCTATGGATAACTCAAGGCTACATAGTTCTACTTACAAAGAACTATTGAGTTGATTATTTTTAAGGAGTTATCCTTTAGACATATTGAGTGACTAAACCTTACTTGTCACTCGCTCTTGGAGACGGAAATATTTGTTTGTTTCACGTCAATATGAATAAGGAATACTCATTTCTGAAAATGTTTTATCGAAGTCGCGCAACGGTGGAAAATAAGTTTGATTTGTTGAGTGTTTTGTTGGATGACGATTACTCAAATGGTCGAATAAGAGAACTCGTATCTGAATAATCAAGAATATTAATAGAAGGCTCTAGATCATCTCCTTTTCACCCTTTTGAAATGATATTTAAGCATGATTAAGTGTTATGATTTTGAAAAACTAATAGTCGCTTGGAATTCAGCGTGCTCCAAACGCTCAACTATTAAGGGGTTTAAAGAGATGTTCATGTCTCAATCCTTTGCCTTTCAAATTTATTACGAAAAAAAGTTTTTGCATCAACGCCTTGACGTTGGATTAAGCATTGCAAGTTTGACTTTTGAAAAGAGTTTGAATTAATCGAAAGATATGCTCGAAATTGGATCAAGCACTCGCGTTGGATTCAATTTAAATTTGATTTGGAAAAAAGGCTCGATGTTGGATCGAGTGTTATTTTTTGTTCTTTTTTTAAAATAGTTAATTTTAATCTTGAGTTAACAATTAACTAAGACAATAAAAAATAAAGGATATCAATAAACTTAAAGTGAATTTAGTGTTGTGTTAAGCTAACTTAAAGTGAATTCATATAGAAATCACTCTATAAGAAGTCGGTTAACAAAATATATGCGTCTAAGCGGTTTTTCAGAAGGTAAAATTGAATCTGAGCTTTGAAATCACAACGCACTTGAAAAGTCCAACAACTCGATAAATTATGTACAACAACTTCAATGGTAAAATAAACTGACAATTAAACTAATGAATTTAGTGTTATATTAAGTTGACTTAAAGTAAAATCATATAGGAATCACTCTATAAGAAGTCAGTCAACCAAATTTATGCGTCTGAGCGGCTTCTAAAGTTAAAATGTTTAACTAGAAAACATCAATGCACTGTGGCCGATGGAATGAATAATCAAATAATCAATTAAACCATTATAATCCATAGATAAAATTAAAATAATCAATTAATCAATTAAATCAAATTATAACTATTAAAATAAATAAAAATAGAACACAACACAAAGGTGTAAATATAATAAAAATGTGTATAAAGAATAATGTGGGCCTAAGCCCAATCCAAAACCTATTTAAACCAAAACAATAATAATAATAATAATAATAATAATAATAATAATAAATAATAATAATAATAATAATAATAATAATAATAATAATAATAATAATAATAATAATAATAATAATAATAATAACAAAAGCTAATAAATATAAATAAAAGAAAAAATAAATAATGAGAGAGAGAGAGAGTTGAATTTTTAAACTTCAAAAAATCCCCAATCGAAATCGGACACGTGGCAAGGGAGAATGGAAAAATATTAAAATTTATTTTCCTACTCTTCTCCCTAATTCATAGTCCTCCTTCTGTTTTTATGTTTTTCTAGAAAAATGAATTGCTTCATCCTCTCAAAATCACTCTTGTTTCATTCATCAACCAAAGAAAAAACTAAATTACTCTTGTTTCATTCATCAACCAAAGAAAAAAATCCCCAATCGAAATCAGACACGTGGCAAGGGAGAATGGAAAAATAACAAAATTTATTTTCCTACTATTCTCCCTCATTCATAGTCCTCTTTCTGCTTCTATGTTTTTTAGAAAAATGAATTGCTTCATCCTCTCAAAATCACTCTTGTTTCATTCATCAACCAAAGAAAAAACTAAATCAAATATATAAACTATATCTTTCATATATCATTATCCTCTTTCTTTTTTCCAAAATCTAAAACAAAAACTTTTCTTCTTAACAAAACCATATATTCAATCAACAAACATCAACAAATCACCACAAATTAAAATGAAAATCAACAAAGGAAGCAAGACCTCCTACCAGTGATGAAAAGAAGATTCACAGTGGGTTCATGATGATGGTGGTGACGAGTTACTTGGAAGTTGCATAGTGATAAGTAGAGGGCGGAATTCGGTAGAGGAGGATGTGAATGGTTTTATTATGGTGGTTGTGTGAGATGCGTAGAGGAAGTTGAGTATCGTCCTTATGAGTTGTGAGAGTGAGAGGTTTGTAAGGTTTGTTATGTTTAGTGTGGATGAACGTAGAGGGTGGGGTTTATATATGCTAAGTTTTACGTGTATTTTGATGTGAATAAAAATGAGATATGGGATAGATAGGGGGAGTGATTTATGAGGAGTTGGAATGGCTTCACGTGATGGGAAGAACAAGGTTTTGTCGTGTTGAAGATAGAAAAGAAGGTGAAGAATGAGATTGATGGAGATGATGAACTAAAAGTGTTGTTGTGGTTTGCTCTGATGAAACTGGAAGGAAAAAAGAATGAGATCCCCCCTCCCAAATGGAAATCCAGTGAGAGAATTACATGTTGGAAACACGCGCTTTCTTTTTTGCTGAGTGTAGTAGTTCTTTTTGTGAGAGAGAAAAGTTTTAAGTTTCCCCTCTCCTCTCATGCGATTGGCTAACATGAGGATAATATCTCCTCCTTTCTTTTCTCATACGCGTGTTCATTTCTAAATGGTTCCCTATTTTCTTTTTAATTCATTTTCCTTAAAAAAACTAATATGAAAACAAGCTTTTAGTAATTAAATAAAACACAAAAAACAACATTTAAAATCGAACTACAAACACAGTTAATTCTAACGATTATTTTGGCTAAAAAAACAAAAATAAACGCATTAAAAATGAATTAAAATCGTACACAAAAGTATCCGAAAAAATAAATTGAATGCACCAAAATGATCAGCATGAAATAAACTTCTCAAAAACATACAGGTTTTGATCAAATTTTGAAATAAAAAATGACAACTTAAAAGGCTCAGACTTGTTAAAATGAGACAAGAAAAAGTAGTCAAAAAATAAAATGAACACGCCAGGTTGAACTACGCAAACCCAAGATTAATAATATTGATATCTACAAGCTGGATTTTGAAATTTTTTTCCCGTTAATTCTACGCATATTTGAAAATTGATTCAACTGGTTTGTCTGTAGATCTGAAATTTTATTTTAGTTGACACGTAAGTGCTATGCGGCATGAAATGCATGTTGTAATGAGTAGATAATATAGATGTCCAGTGAATGTATTAGTTTACTAATCGAGAGATTATGAATAGACAATAAGATGCAAAGGAGTTAACTTTTGGACCATTTACTTCAAATTCTCAAATACAATTAAAATCC